TAAAACATGATCTATTTCAATTTAGATTTGATCTGCTCTTCCATGCAGCACAAAGCATATTGTAGCTTTTCATCAATTAGAATCAGAGGATCATTGAATTATTTAGGTTGGAAAGGAACTTAAGGATCAACAAGTCCAACCATAAACATAACGCTGCCAAGTCCACCACTAAACCATGTCTCTAAGTGCCACATCTACACATCTTTTAATACCTCACATTAAACTGCACATAATCAAGCTTCAAGATTTTAATTAGCAACTCCATTAATATCTATGCAGTGAGTATGGTCACTGGCAAGAAAAAAAAATCTACCACCATGCATATTTCATCTGCACTTGTGAACTAGTGGCATCCTAACATCCTTCAACAACTATTTGCAAGTTAGGCAATTTGCACAAAGTTCAACTACTTAGAAAGTTCATAGCTATACAGAGCCATCTATTTCTAGCCAAGAAACAGAACATGACTTTCACAGATCCTGGAATTATTTCATTTGTCAACATCGACCTATTCCTTGCCCATCAGAGCTGAGTTATTTTAGCAGCACTATTTTCAAAACACCTGAGCCAGCAGATGCTTTAGGCTATACCGAAACAACCAGAGAGGTGCAGCCTTCAAATGATGGAAAGCCCAGAAATCCCTGGTTGGTGACAATGCTCAGTGTACTTCTCCTGAACTAAATAATGAGAAAAGGTGAGCTGAACGCTCCTATAGCCTAAGAATATACCCAGGGTCTCAAAGCAGAGTGAGGATGGCTTGGAGCTGATTTTCATGCTGCTATAGCTGGGCAGCTCTCAATAACTCAGCAGCCTGAGTACAGCGGTACAAACTGTGGGCTGCCCTGCAAGCACACACTTAAGACCACTAGCAGAAGTTCTGTACGCTGACTTGGCATCCATGGGAGGATGGCATCACAACAGAAGCACAAGGAGGAGCTCTCAGCAGCCTTTATGATAACCCTGCACATCCTTTTTGCTCCGCCAGCAATACAAGTGAGCAGTGTAATCTAAATGACAGTGAAAGGCTGGAACACAGTGAGATAAAGTAGCTTGTGATGGTACGATTTTGGGAAATATGCTTCATTACAATGAGTCTGATGAACAATAAGCCAGGATTAGAGCCTAGCTCTCTGAAGGATTATTTTAACAGTTTAATAACAGCACCAAGGCAGCAACCAAAAATTCCCAGGAACCGCAGGAACAAAACTGAACAGCACTGCATACATAAGGCTTACACAACACAGCCTCACTCTACTTTCTCCTTTGAAGAGTTAAATAAGGTGTAATTTAGCTATCATATTACACTATTTAAAATACACAAGCCCTCAGCTTTGCAGTTGTAGTCTGCACTGTTTAATTGAAGTCTGCACTGTTTAGTTGAAGTTTGCTTATTATATAAAGTGCTCGCTACAAAAGGCCATTTCCATTTAATTCATGCTAACATTCTTAAAAACAAAGGTCAAAAACAAGGAAACAAAAGCTTAACTGTAGTTAAGTAGGTCTTGGATGGAGCCCAGAGCTGATGAGAAGCGAAAGCTTCACATAAGAGTAACAGTAGCTTCAGTGTTTGCATTCTGTTTAATTAAACATGCTTTTTAAAAGAATCAGTTTACATTAAAAGTTTTTTTAAAAACAGAACCTAATTTTGAATAAAACCTGAATCAATCAAAGTATTTGCTCAGATTTTAAGTTCATGTATTTTTAAACTGTAAAAAATGTTTGTTTGCATATGAATGTTTATACTGCAGATGTTTCACACCTGTTTGCATTTTGCAGGACAGTTGCTTTTAAATGTTTTTATCTCAATCACAGCACAGAGAAAATTCAAATCTAGAACTCCCTCTCTCATTTCAGGGGAATTATGACTGAAGTCCACATGATATGGTTTTCTTCTCCTTTTTCATTCAAAGCAAACTATTATTTCCTTTTTCAATTTAGGTATAGGTCTTCAAAGTAGAATAGCTTGTCATAGACTTTTGAATTCCCCTGTACTAAATTAGAATCAGTGACAGTGAGATTTACTGCATAAAACACCACTTGACTTTTGTATGAGTATTAAGGAAAATTGCTGCTCTCTTTCATTGCATCATCAAGGAAGTGTTTACACTTAAAATCAACAGTACATTACTTTTCATTCTTTGGATGACAAGTCAGTGACCTCTCGTCCCCCTTTACCCCTCCTTTCCCTCACCAGCAGCTCTTTGAAACTTTTAATACAATGTTTTTCTAATATTTCACTTGTAAACCTCAAGGTTGCAATCTCCATACAAGTAACAGCTCTGCCCAAGTACTCCCATGCGTTCTTTCCTCCCACAGTCGCTCCCTCTATTAGCAAAACTGGATGTTCAGCAATTACCTTGAGGGACCACATAATCAAAAATATAGCTAAAAAAAAAAAACCAAACGAAAAACAAAGAAGGGGAAAAAAAAATCTACTTCATCTCTCCGTTAAGAGTTTAGAGGAAGAAAACCACAATACCTAAATTCAAGTTTAGATATAAGGAAACATAAGAACTATCCTCTTCTTCCTCATAACAAAAAATAACAGAAACACAATCACTGTATCATGTTGAGCTTAACATGCAAGAATAATATTGCTGTGGGTAGTGCCAAGAATCACTTGGAACAAGTCATTCTTGCATCTTGGCAGAATCACCCTTCGAGAAAAAAAAAAAAAGAACATGCCTACAATCAGGGATTTGCCACAGATGACTTGCTGTGGTAGCTATCCAGATTACCTGTCCGTGGACCCAATCCAAAGCTCATTACTGGCAACAGGCTTTTGAAACAGCCCCATTCTGTTTTTTTCACAATGGAAAAGCTCTCTATTTAATTGATAGACTGGAAAGAATCTTAAACTCTTTGAAGTCTGAGTTTAACCAAAGAAAAGGACATAATGTTTGCCTCTGGCTTGGCAAGTGACACTTGGGGGAAAAAAACTGTGATCTAGAAATAATGCAATTTATACAGTGCTTAGTATGGTGCAAATACATCAAAGGAACCTTTAAATTAAAGGTCTGGACACAGCAAAGTAACCAGTTGCTCCCTATTACCAAACCAATTTAGTTATTAGACTTTACAAACAAATCTTTTGAAGAGAAGCATAAATGGTGTTCAAGAAATGAAACATTTTAATTAAAACAATTTTATCTGAATTTATTTTATCTCCATGCTTGCAATTGTGTTTGGAGAGCATTAAAGAATAATTTAATATCAAATAAAATAAAAAAATATTAAAAATCCTGTAATTTCATCATTTTATTGTTTTAGGATTACATAATCTATTTAAAATAAACTCTGTTTTTCCTCTTCAGGAGGAAGGAACATTTGAACGAACTAGCATTTTCAGTAGCATTTCAGACCACAGCACAGTGGTGGAATAAGCCATTACTCAGCTGATCCACATAAAAGCTGTTTTGCTTATTAGTTTTCAGTGGGGTCACGCCACTGAATTAGCCTGCAGTTTAAACAAACATTAATGTCAGCACGAGGGCAGGAAAGTGTGGCCAAGGAAGAATGTACAAGAAAAACTGCAACAGTCCCGACTTACACTGATGAAACTGAAGATGGAATTTCACTATTAAATGCACAAGGAGTGCTAAGTATAGAGCAGTTTCTTCAGTTTACACAAAATAATGATTCCAAACCCAAAGCAAATCTAAATAAAAATAATATACAAAACCACATCTCAGAAATTCAGGAAGTTCTCTTTCAGGAGGCTGTCTTTCCTCGACAGCATAGTCTACAACCAGTACTGTCATGCAGTGGAGGATGTAACTGTGCCTCATCACCCTCAGAAATATCTCTCTGCCAAGGGAACCATGTGCATTAGGAAATGCTACCCTCTATCGTTTGACTAGTCTGAACAGCTAATGTCTCCTTAAAAATGATCATTTTAAGAGGCTAACTTTGCTTTTCCTAGAAATTACTGTAGAAATCATGACTTAAAACCTGAAAAGCTGGTGTTTGTTACTACATAGCCAGACCCTGACCTTCTTTTTACTCATCAACTTAGTCCTTGGCTGCAGCACTCCAACGGGCCCTGTGACTCTGGCTTCCCCTCCAATTCCCTCTTCCAAAAGGAAGGCAAGCCAGAGACTCAAAAATAACTATTGCTTCAAATAACTGCCTTTTTTTAGTTCTGTATAACAGTTTGCATTCTTTTGAATTCTTTTTTGTCCATTTTGTATAAGTACTACTTCAAATCCTTATATGATCTTTTACCATTCTCCTGTTGTCTTTCCATGACCATCCCTTTCCAAACCTTTCTTACACTCTTGTAAGAGCCCTTATTTAGAAGATTTTATATTTAAAAACCTTTTCTAAAAAGCTGAAGCAGCAGGATCTGAAGACATAAGAATGCTATTGCAAAAGAACAGAAGGTGATCTTTGAATTCAACTGTATTATGAAAAATTTCTTAAAGAGCCCAAAAGGTGCGGTCCCCCCAAATAAATGAGAAAAAAGATAAAAGAGGGGAACAATATTTTTCTGCCAAAGTCACTGCTTAAGAAAAGCTGCAAAACTCACTTTATGAATATTTAGACCATGTCAGCAGGATATTAGATTTAAAAGGAAATTTTTTTCCATCTTATTCTACATTTAAACTGGGAAGTTCTATTTGGCCAACAGCAAATAGAATGAAAGAAACACAAGGAAGAGGAAGATTGCCAGGACAAAGTACAAAGAATCACACAGTCTGGGGACCAAGTGGCAGGGAACAGCACGTGGAAAACATAAGGTAAATACCTTTGTATCTTTAATTAAGTTAATTTAGAGTTAATGTTGACATCTGAATTTCTTTGAAAAGAAACTGACATTTGAAGCCCCCTAGAAGTGTTTTGCCTTCTAACCTCTGTTTCTAGTTCTTTTGGGTAGAAAACGAGAATTGAGTAAATTTTAGAAACAAGAACCAACCTTTTAATTTGGATTAAATACACTACTGATGTGTAAACCTGAGGATGTCCACACCGTGACTTTTATGTACCACCACCTATAGATAAACAGTGTTACAGGTCTGTTTTAATCACTTCTTAAGAATGAAAGTATTGTATTGCATTATGGCTACTATTTAAGCTTCCCTCAAGCCAGCAGAGCAGCCAAAGCACATCATAAGGCCCTTCTGGTCAGAACACAAGACACTGATGACATGACATAATGCCATAATTCGTTTACTGACACCATAATGTAAAGTATGAAATACAGGTTGTCAGAAATACAATCAACACAGAGCTCACAATATTCCATCCTTGCCCTCTGGACGATTTCCAAGGCAGGAAGAGTAAACAGCCTTCTCCCAGCTTTTTTAGTTTCCACAGCTGAGAGTGTAGGATGTTTACAATACCTGTCACTCAGAGCTCTGGAAAACAGACCAAATGTCAGCAGACCTCATACTGACTCTTTCACTGACTGCTGGAAAGATGCAGATGTCAAGTGACAGGAAGAAAAAATCCATATCCATGACTACTGTATACCATATGAATCCAAATCAATGTTAAATCCTTTGTGGAAAAGTTGGAAGGTCTAAGAAAGAAGTTCAAAATAAAGCTGAGCTTCAGCATCTCCAGAGGACAGTCAGTGTCATTGCCACCACTGTATTGCAGGCTTACTGCCAGTTCACTCCAAAGTACTCCTGAATGTCTTGAAGTTGTGCCTGCAGAAAACAGAGAATTCACCATTTTAATGAGTGCACACAGAAAATCTAACAAACAAGCAGAAAAATGGTCTTTGCGTTCCACAAGTAAAAGCCATCATTTAATTTCCAAAGGACTTGAAGCTTTTAAGACAATTTAAAAGCAATATCTGAAGTGCTGGCTTACAGGAGTGCCCACAATATCTAGCGTATTTTTAATTATCAGAAGAATGATGGTTCTGGGACACTTTGGAATACTATGAGGAAAAGAATACTTTTAAAGACATGGCTTGTTAAATTGAAGAGTATGATTAAATAACAACATATGACTGTTAACAGCAGTTTAGGTAGGTTTGAGAATGTATTTTCCTCTCAGAAAATGATTAAGTATTCAGTTTCCTTAAATGCATCACCTCTAAGGGAAAAAAACCCAAACAAAATAAAAAAGTAATAAAAACAATAAAAAACCCCAACCAACCAACCAACCAACCAAAAACCCAAACAAACAAAAAACCCCAACCAACCAACCGGAAAAAAACCAAAAAACCCAACAGGAAAGAGGGGACTATGTAACTGCACACCGCACTTGACCGTGCATAAGAAAGCCTAGAGATTTGCAAGAGCCTGAAAAGTTGAAATAAATCTGAAGGTAGAGATCATGTTCACCTTCTAGTCTACTATAAAATAGGGACTTCAAGGGCAAAGGGCAAAAATTGAAAGAATCAAAAGTTTTCTTTCTCAAGCTGTCTGTCCTCAATAAATCATCTCTCTGGTCAGCATTTAAACAACCTATGCTAGTTCTGTACTAGGATTCATTTCTCCTAAAACATTCCACCAATATTTCATGTCAATGAGGTCCATGGGTTGGATCTCTCTAAGGCATACAATAGAAGAGGAAAATCCCAGTCTTTAATAAAGCAGCCACACCAGTCAGAGTGCCAGGTAACTGCAAGAAACAGAAGAGCCTGGTGTTGGCTCAACAATGAATCCAGCTGTAGAAACAAAAGCATAAAGTGCAGAAAGAAAATCATGGAGCTGCTCTTTCAGAAAAGAAAAAGGAGTAAATCTCAGAATAACCCACTTGTGAATCTCAGGAAGTCATCTAGTTCCAGGCCTGGTGGAGGCAGGGCCAGTTTTGGAATCCCACATGAACTGCAGCTAGACACCTTACATTGCTCATTCAAGGTTTTCCAGTTTATGTATGATGTGCAGAAGGCACTTCAACACTTTACAAAGTCGAAATACTGTGGTCGTCCCTGACTGAATTTACCACAGCACTCTCAATCTTTAGCTGACAGGCATCTAATATTTCTATTGCTAACAGATCCTATTTTGATCCTCTTATGGCTATGACAAATTTTTTTATATTACATGACCAATCATGATATCATCCTGATGTGCATCTTTTATTACTGTTGGTTAGAATCGCTATTTACGATTACTTTTCCTGTACAATTCAAATTTCAGGGCTTAAAATCAGACAGCTGACTTGGAAAATATTAACCTATGATAGACTCTAACACTAAAACAGTTTTTCCAAGTTTAATAAATGGAAAATAATGTAGACAAAAAAAATTACCCCTCTCCAGTATGTCCCAAAGAGAAAAAAACCCACCCAACTATGCAAATTCAGAAAGCATGGGTATTATATTTGCTAAAAAGTAAGTAGCAAGAAAAAAACGCAAACTGTCTGGTTTGGTTTTTTTTCTATAGCAGGAAAAAATTCTGCTTTCAAAATAAGCCTATGAACCATTGGAGCTGTTGGCTTCATATGCAAGAAAACTTATGAGAGCCAGTGCAGTAACAGGCAACATACTGTCAGCACACAAAGGAAGAAGAGTTGTCAAGGCAAATGGTGTAGTGACAGGGAAATAAATACATGAAAGAAAAACAATCTGGAAATTCAGAACAAAAAAATCAGAATAAAAACTAAGCAATATATTATGGTCTCACAGAATCATAGAATCCCAAACACTTTTGCAACTTATTATATATTCTTCAGCTCCAGCATTTACTTGAATGACACATATGACACGGGACTTTAAAAGTCAGTTTTACATATATATTGCAGATGTGCTTCTGAAAGGTGCACCAGTCAGTCATTACTTCAAACAATTTAAGGAAATCTTCTGGCAAGAATTTCATTTATATTCAACATAGTAATTCCTATTCTGAAGGGCCTACAGTCAAAATGAGCAACAGGAGAACATGACAGCAATTAAATGATGACTTCAAGCACAGGTTCACTGTTTTTCTACTGCTTCTCTACTGACTGCTTTTGACTTCCAAATCGTTTGAGGTAATTACTTTATTTTTATTAGTATTGATGAAGTCAAAGATGCATCTTAGGTGACATACTTGGGGAGGGGTAAGAAGTTACACACGTCACACCCCTTTGCCAAAATAGATGCCTACCACTTGCTAGGCACAGTTCCTCATCTGTGTCTAGGTACCCAGACAGCAGCAACCCTCCTGCCTCAGCTTTCATTGCAAAGCACGTACTTCTACAGGTGTCTGAGAAGAAATAAAGCTTTTGATTTGCCAGCAAGTCCTGCACAAAGCTAGGCTAAAATCCTGCAGCTGAAAGATCTAAGGGCGGGCACTACCTGCACAGATAGCCACACAAGTGATCGTGGTCTCAGCAAAGCTATCACAATAACAAGGATGAACTGCTGCTGCAAAAAAAACTTTCCCCCCCAGACTTCCAAGAGGCAAGGTGCTAGTGATACAGGTATCTACCCCATCTTAGAACCTGCTCTCCCTCCCTTGGCTTCACTGTCCTACACTTGAAGGACATGACTGTAAAATACAGTACAGAGAGTTATGAAAGAAGCAACTGCTAAAAGAATGTAGTGCAACAACAAAACCTACAACCCCAAAACCCAACTGAAGCACTGCCCTGCCATCACCTGGAAAAGAAGGGATCGTGAATTGTTCAATAAATGCCACAGTATAAAGAGACTGCATTCGTTCATTCACTTTCATTTCACAAGGGGGCACAAAAGAGAGGGTCTGAATAGAAAACCTGTCTCTTCCCTTTATATCAAGTGTCCTAGTTAGGACAGCTGGGACCAGTTCATCACTGGATGGGTGTAACCCAAAACTGTGTATTCTATAGCCTTCCATGCCATTTCCCAGAAACTGTTTTCAATAGACTATTAACACCCTCTGCCCAGAGCAGCCTGACTCCTCAGGCTATAAACTAGGTGTTAAGAGGCCTGCAAGGTAGGAGGGTGGCTCCCTGTTCCTCATACCCTTTGTGAAACTCCCTGCTCTGAGGAAAGTACTGGGCATTCCTGCCTGAATTGGAGAATATATAATCTTGGAGTCTTGGAACTTTTTTAACCACTCATGGGATCCAGAGGAAGACTGCAGATCACCGCTCTCAACCAGACTGCAGACCACCACTCTCGACTGGACTGCAACAACCACTTTTGACAGACTGCAACAGCACTCTCACCAACAGGTTTTCCCCCTCTCCCTTTATTTTGGACTCAGGGGGCCCAACAAACACCACTCTGTTCGTGCCCCAGGGTGCTGGGTTATATATTTGGGTTTTGTGGGTTAAAACCAATTGTTTGTCTGTATAATCGTACCTATTGTATTATTTTATTAAATTGTTATTCTGACTTTTAATCTCTCTTTTCGGTTGAGTTCATTTTCCCCTGCTGGTTTACCTTTAAACCAGCACATCAAGTTAGGTATTTAATTTCTTGTAATGATAAGAAGTTGGGTGCCAATGTAAGCAAATTACTCACTGCTCACTTTACAGAATATTTGTTATAGTCTGAATCACTCAATTATATCACTCAACAACAAATGACCAAAAAAAAAAAAAAAAAAGAAAAATAACCCTGTTTGTAAACAGGGAGAAAATTACATATATGTTGTGAGGTCTAACACCTTTACAGCCTTGTCAGATAAGCTGACATTATGCTACTTTCTGTGACTCGTGGCCCTCTGAAACAGCTAATCTTTCTGCTACCTTTGCATCAGACACACCATTAAAATGACGGAAAGTATCACTGAACATTATGGATATTATGCCATTAGCAAAATTAATGAGGAACTATTTATATACTAAGCCCTCTTACACTGCCTTTTACAAAAGTTCAAAACAGTCTCCAAAAGCTTCTTCAAAATCTATAATGCACACAGGGAAGGCTAATCTACCTACGAAGAGACTACCTCATCCACCTGCAGTGACCTACTTGAGGGGCAAAATACTTGTGCTGAATGCCCCTTCCGAATACAGACAACTTAAAAAGCAGCAGGCCCAGTGAAGACTGCAATGTATTTAAAACTCTTCCTTCCTTGCCTGGTGGAGTCCTGCAGTAAAGACTGTGTGATCTTAACATTTGGAGATATTCCCAAATTACCTCTTCCACTGAACAGCCACTCCTCTAGAAGTAGACAGTAACATCTATAGTACAACAGCCAGGTCAGTTTGAAGTAAGAGTTGAGATTTAGACTTGGGAAGGAGCAGGCAAAGTGGCAGGCATCCTTCAAAGCTTAGCTAGATCCCCCTTCATGTGTCTTCATTGTGTGGTAGCTGTGAAGACTAAAAGACTCCCACTTCTGCTGCCCTCCTTGTCCACAAAGCAGCCTTTCCCTCAAAATTGCCGAGTTTACCTTTTCACCTGCCTGCTCCTGGAAGAGCACACAGCTTCAGTGAACAACTGGTCCAACTTTCTCCAAAAAACCCTGGCATGGTTCTAAGATTACTTCAAGCCCATGATGATGAATTCTGTTTTCTCCCACCCTGAATATTCTGTGTTCCATTGTGGAAACAATGGAATGTAAAGAGAATCTCAGAATGTTAAGAGGAACACCGGGGTCACTGTCTGATGGGGAAGACTTAGAAATGGAGGTGAATCTCGGTGCTCTTCTTTAGCAGCTACATCTGCCATCAGCTTCAAAGAAAGAAACCTATCCCATTCATTGTCTTCATGAGCCTTGCAACTCTTTGAAGGGAGGGGAGAAAAAATAATTAAGTTTCCTTTTGCACACAAACACAAGAA